GGGATTATTTGTGCGTGAGATAATGCGTGCGGAAGCCGGATTAACTTGCGATCTTGTCGATGAATGTTCTCGATCGCCTCTTTCGTGCTTTTCGTTGCGATCGAGCACAGTGAAATCGCGAAGTTAGCCGCGTTCGCGGAATACCGGGGGCTAAATGAGGTGAATTTTCTTTTCGACCCGGCTCGTCGAAATTATATGAATATATATTTTCGTGCGAATTGAGTCTCATGTGTATGTGTAATGTGTTTCAGGTGCAGTAAAGGGAGAAGACGAAAGCGGAGGATGCCTACCCAAAGGATCTTCAAAGTGTCCAGCAACGGCCACGAACTTTCTATCGTCACTGTTCGGACACAAAGGCAAGGCTAAGTAATTGGATCGGATTTGTCAGGTACGCATTTCGTTTTTGACCCATTATGCGCCGTCTTGGCATTCGGGATCGTATTTTAGGCAGTAGTCATACAGTCCATTCCGCAAAAATTCCGCGCGTTGTGACGATGTTTTACGGATTTCACGCGACTCGTAGCACGGCTGCTCTCGCAAACGTACAGCGTCTTTCGTCGTCAATTTCGTCAATTCAAATGCGCGAGTGCGACAAGTGTCTGCGATGCTTTGTTCGGGACGCAGAATTGATCGTGTGTAAAACAATGCGTGTGGCAGTTGAATTTTCTCACGATCTTGTCGATGAACGTTCACGATCGTTGTCGAGCTCCGGGTAATTATTTATTTGAATACCATACCCCACCTTTTACATTGTTATTACATTATTACATTATTACATTATTACATTGTTATACATCGGTGGAACGTATTTGATATTATTTTATTATTTCAAATATTTCGTATTAATTATAGAATGTGATGTCAAAAGGCAAAAAGTAAAAAGAGGTTTTTACTACCGTGGTTTTTTTACATAATCTTTATTCAAATTATTCGTACTTACTATCGTAGTACATTCGCGCTTTGCTTTTGGCATTTCTGGCACTTGTTCAATACTATATTAAATAAGAAATAAGTCAGAAGTGTAGTTATTTAAAATAATGAATACTAATCGTATAAATAATTCTTTTAATTTTTTATTTAAATTGTATACTTTAACTTTCGTCGCTTTTACGAGTATATAAAAATTTTTTAATGGTTCTTACGTGTATCTCGACATCTTTAGAAAGTACTTGTCAAGTTGTACATTTATAGCAAATTGTATATAAATTGTTACAACTAAATATAGTTAACAAAATGAGAAAAATGTACTTTTTTACACAAAAATGTAAAACTCTAAAACAAAAATATTTTATGAAAAAATATGTTTCAATATCTTAAAATCGACATTCTAAACGACAAAACAAATAATCATTCAAGTATTGACTGTCCAAAAAATTTAATTATTTAGTAACTCGAAAATTATATTTTTTAATAAGCACGAAGAAACTATGTCAAAGGTTGAACAATATATTACATTAAATAAATTGTTAAATATTACGTAATTACGTCTCCTTTACATGATAGTTGTCGAAACTTTCTAGTTTCTTCGTTTAAAGATGAAAAAAGTGGAATCAACTGGATAAGTTTTTTAAAATCGTAAAATAGATTAAGTCAGTGGTTAGTAAGAGTACATCTATGTATAAATATAAATAAAATTAAATTGAAAAAAAAAGTATTGTACCGAAAAAACGGGGTCAATGTTTAAAAACGCATATTATACGTAACAACATATACCTGTTTTCAATTTCCATCATTTATCGACAAGCTTTTGCTCTGACAAGAAGCCCTCTCACCGTTTTGGAAATATCTTTCTAGAGATTCTATCTATTGAATCTATATCTTGAAAAATTAAATAAGTTTTTAAACATTGGTCCACCACGCCGAGCAGCGCGCTTGACGCTCTCCCACCCCTCGCCGTTTAGATATCATACTATTGTGTATGAAAAATATTCACGGTTTATTCATTTATTCATATTTTACATGATTTTTACGAACGGGTATCATCGTACATTTCGCGCTTTGCTTTGTGGCATATCTGGCACTAGTTTAATCCTATATTACTTGCGCGGTTCTTTTTATAAATGTAATTGATAATTATTTGCGTGTGTAAGCCGTTTTTGATATTTTAACGGTACATTATGTTTGAATTTTCATTGTACTTTTAAATGATTTATACTTAAACAAAGGTTGATAATATTCTATACATCCTTTATAAAGATATATGCAAATTTTCTTAATATATATTGTGAAACAATTTGCGCTCAATACAGCTTTGGTTAAAAGTATTAAATATCTTGTTAATCATTATTTAATTTTGCAGCTAAAAAATTAATTTAAGACACTACTGTTTTAAGACACTGTTGCTGCAAATTATTCTGTGTTTCCAAAATTCTTTAAACTTAGTTATATAATGCCGATTATGGCTCGGTAAAATAACTATTACGACTTATTTAAAATAAAAAATATAAAATAAGTTTGAGAAACTTATTTAAAATATAAAATCGTAGGAATCGATAAAAAAAACTGATACGACTTATTTAAAATAAAAAAGATAAAATAGGTTCGGAAAACTTATTTAAAACGCTAAATAAGAAATAAATCAGAAGTGTAGTTATTTAAAATAATAAATACTAAATAACTCTTATATTTTTTATTTAAAGTATATACTTTAAATAACTTTATTTAACCCTTAGTACACACCTTAGTTTTGGGTAACCTTACTATATATACGCCATTCGCGTTCTGAATTAATTTTCATCACTTTTATAAGTATATAAAAATTATTAAATGATTTTTGCATAAATTTTGACATCTTTAGAAAATATTTGTAAAGTTGTATATTTATAACGAATCGTATGCGGTCCTTATGTCATTCGACTATGACAGAGGAATATTCAACTGTAGTTGGTTAGTTTTTACATTCTGACCCGGTTCGAACCCTGGGTGAAAACTAGGACCATTCATACTGCACCGTGTAGTATGAATTTTGCACTCATTTTATTTCTAAGAAACAAAACGGAAGCGCAATTTATCTCCGAGATTGGTTTCTTTCATCAATACATAAACGTAAAATTGTTCTATTTGATAGTGATATTTTTTGTAAATTTTTTTAAAAAAGGTAAAAAAAGGCGCTAAACATTCATGTTTCTTGAATAAAACCTAAATATTCAACTTAATTAATAATAGTTTTAATTTTTCTTTGAGGATATATATATTTTTATTGAAGGTCTTCTTATTCCAACTTAAATAATGGCAATTTTAATTCTCTGTCAAAAATTGTTATTCTTTGAAAAAAATTAATACATCAAATGAAAGATTAAAACCCAGATACTACAATCTTAACTAATCTAGTTAAATTTTACTAACAAGTATCCAACCTAATTAATACAAATTATAATTTTTCTTCGAGGATATTCTTATTGAAGGTTTTCTGATTTCAATCCAAGTAATTGCAACTTTAATTCTCTGTCAAAAATTATTATTCTTTGAAAAAAATTAATATATCAAATGAAAAATTGAAACCCAGATGCTACAATCTTAACTAATCAAATTTAATTGTATCAAATTAAAAAGTAAAACACAAATGTCTCTTGTTATTTATACACACACACACACACACACACACACACACACACACACACAAACTTACCTTTTTAAAAAATTCACAATTAAGTAGATATTTAATGTTCTTCGGTATTGTTGCATTAGAAATAAACATACGATACAAATTAAATGTATAACTTTAATGATAATTAATGATAATTAATACCTTTAAGACGGTAAATTTGAAATTATATATGCTAGTGAAAATATATTAATTAGATAACTATTGAAGAATAATATAATAAAATAGTTTGTAATATAACTAATATGTACATATTGCTAGGTTGTAAATATAAAGTAAGTTAAATCATCAATTTATATTATTAATTGCAAATTTTATTTATATGTATGCCATGCTCGGTATAAATAAATAAAATTTGCAGTCGATAATGTAAATTACTACACATGCTCCAGAACTTTTTATCTTTTGGAAAAGTCTTAAAAACGTTTAGTTCAAGACGTCTCTTTTAGATGTCTTTCAGACACGCATATGTTATCCTCTGGGAATTATATTTAATAATCGCAAAATATCAATTGTCGATAATATCATTGTTTTTCAATTGTATTCTGTCCCTTGGAATCCTATTGATATCGACGGGACACTATTAAAGATATCGTTCGACTCTGAGCAATTTCGTACAATTTAAATTGAGATTAAAGTTAATCTACATGAATCTGTGATAGAATTAATCTTCACTATGCATTAATATAGATTGAATATTATTCGTGTATTAGATTAACAATTATAATCTAATTTGGACGTGTATATTGTAGAAGTAATATTTTCTCAATGAATGGATCCCGGGATGCGCCGGGTACCGCTAGTTGCGGGAACGGCCGCGCGATGGCGCTAAGCATGCCGTTGCGAGCGAGACCGTTAGCCGACGGTGTCGCACGACGCCGAGTCCGGGTATTTGTCAATATCTGCTCCGGGATTTTCGGCGTTCTGCGTGGCGAGAGCGCGCGTGCACCGCATCGTGTGAACGCATTCCGCACGCTACGGCTACGCGCACGAGAGGAGCGACGACAGTTATCCTCGGGGTTCCGCGTATTGTCGCGTAGTGGTCCTCCCTCCGGACGAAAAGAGACCTCTTCCTCGCGGCGTTTACGGAGGGGTACAAAACG